GCGGAAGAGGAGGGGGAGGAGGAGAACGCAGTTGAGGCGAAGGATGAGGAGGCGGCGGATGAAAGACGAAGAGGAGAGGAGGATAGAGGCGAGGAGGATGAGGGGAAAGGCAAGTGGAAGGGAGGGAGGTGGAGGGAGGAGGTGGCCAAAAAACGTTTCTTTTTGTTTTGCATTCCTGTCTCGTTTCTTCTTCATTTTCCGTCTCACTTTTTTTTTTTTTTTTTTTTTTAATTCTTGCGTCGTTTCCTTCTTCGTTTGGTCTTTCGTTCTCCTTCTTCTTTTTGAGTCCGTTACAGTTAATCGATCAATCATGAATCATCAATCAATCAATGAATCAATCTTGACCAAGGTCAATCTTTACTGATCGATCGATTGATTGATTGATTGATTGATGGAGAGGGAGACTACACCCAGAGGAGGAGGAGGAGAAGAATCGGGTATGGTCTGGCATGGGTTGGGGAGGTGGGGCGACGGTAAAAGAGGTTCGGGACAAGGGACAAGAGTGTGTTCGGGACAGGGGACAAGAGTGGTCGGGAAAGAGGCAGAGGGCAATAGAGGCGCGCTGAGGAGAGGCACGCAAAAGAAGGTAAGCGGACGGAGGAGGTGGGAGGAGGAAGGAGGGAGGGAGGGCGCAGAGAGGAGCGGGAGGGGGGGATGAGGAGACAGGCGAGTAAAAGAGGTTCGGGACGGGACAAGAGTGTGTTCGGGACAGGGGACAAGAGTGGTCGGGAAAGAGGCAGAGGGCAATAGAGGCGCGCTGAGGAGAGGCACGCGGAGGGAGGTAAGCGGATGGAGGAGGTGGGAGGAGGAAGGAGGGAGGGAGGGAGCAGAGAGGAGTGGGAGGGGGGGATGAGGAGACAGGCGAGTTGAAGGGAGGGAGGAAGAGGGAGAAGGTCGTTGGAGGAAGAGAAACTATTTTTTTTTGTGTCTTTTTTTTTTGCTTTCTATATCGCTTTCCTTCTCTATTTGTCGATTGCCATTATTCAATCAATCAATCAATAAATTAATGAAGATTGACTAAGGTCAATCTTGATTGATTGATTGATTGATGTATTGATTTGGAGGAGACTATATGCGTAGGAAAAATATTTGGAAAAGTCTGCCGATGGTCGGGCAGAGTTCGGTTGTCGTCGGGGAGGTCAAGCCAGGAGAAAGCCGTGGAGGAGGAGTCTCAATCAATCAATCAATCCTCATTCATTGATTGATTGATCGCTTGATCTTCCGCTAGCACATCGAAATGTGTGTGTGTGTGTGTGTGTGTGTGTGTGTGTGTGTGTGAGAGAGAGAGAGAGAGAGAG